TATATATATATATATAGCTATAATGGATGACAAGAGGAAATAGAAATACCAGATCGTTTTTTAATTTCTGTAAAACAGTGAAAATTACAGTGAAGGATTGCCTATAAAGCATCTTACATGAGTCTACTAAAAGTCTGCTAAAAAATCTAGCGCAGTCAGTGCACAGCTGCTTCATTTTAACAAGAGGTTTATTACTTAATAATTTCATGATTAACTGTAAGAACCTGGCGTAGGCGGTAAAAGCAATAGTGGTTACTAAATTGTTACTGTTTGATTCCGGTGGATGCTGTGCGCCGTGTGAACCGATAAATTTGAAAGAAATAAAAAAGACATTAAAAGGTATTTGAAAGAGATGACGCAGAAAACTGTGGACCGAGTAATCCATCACCAGACTTGTGTCACTGAACTGCACTGAATTGCTTAAATAAAAGCTTATTAGGAAGTTTGGTAACTGACATTTTTTTGGCATTTTTCCTTGCATCTTTTTTGTGTTAGAAAAATTGAAAAGTTAGGATTCCTGCTATAGTTCTTTGAGCAGTTAAATCAAGCATAACTTTATTTAATATTGTTATTGAGTACTTTACATTAAGGAATGGTGTGAAAAGGATTGAAAATTGTCAATCGTTCAAGCATAACTTGTCGCTGGATGTACACTTTGTATAATTAATTTCTCTTAGACTTTCATGTATGTATATAGGTATGCCAAAATTTTCAGTTTATGAATTTTGTTTGGTTCAGAAGTGCAGTATTACTGATGGGTGATTATGTCAAGTGGTGAAGGCGTTTATGAGATTTTTACCGACATAAATGTTTTAAGAAGTCGTGAACCTGAATACTTCGAGCTTACAGAGGTGCAGTTTTTGCTTCCGTTATAATTTCAACTGTTATTTTGAAACGTCAAATTTACAGTCAAGTAGTCTCGTTTCTGTTGTATTTTGCTGCTTTAGAAACGAGATTAAAACAATCATTTGGGTTTTAGAAATTTTCAGACTCTTATTGCTACTTATTTGAAGCTCCTGGTTCTTTGTGAATTACTTTTGGGAAGTTCGAAAAATGTTATTGATGTATGGATGTTTCTAGTGAAGATCCTAAATAGCCGTAGTTTATATGCATATCATGTCAGCTTTATACTTCGGTACTCTACTACTTCTTGTCACTTATTCATGTTTTTAGCCTATACCAATCGCTATTGGGCCAGACAATCTTCCGGTTAGCTTGGAAGGCGATGAGGAGACGGGGACGTCAAATACCGATGGAGAGGCAGTTGAAGGTTTGGGAAAAGGAGAAGGAACCCCAATGTTCTCAACTATGGCCTCTGCTGATGGTGAAAAATTTGTTTCAGACTTATCTGCTGAGGGAGTGACTGAACAGATTACTCAGAGTGCACAGACTCTCAACTGTACAAAAAATGCAGTGTCGATTTTACAAGAAGGTTGTCAGCGGTGGTATGACGGAGATTCTCCAAAATATGAGCTAGACGAAAGGATTGTGGGAGTATGTTTTTGAGGTGTTTTTCAAGAAGGACATCCAAATTTTTGTAATTTGCAGCCGGCTAAGTTTGCTGTGAGGTGCGAAATTCGTGGATTGAAGGCTCTTGGAGTTGGAAGAAAAAAAAAAGCTGCGAAGCAAAATGCGGCTCAACAAATTCTCAGGATGGTTTGTTATAATTCTGTTGCTATAGAACCATTGCTAATCGGGTTCTTTTCCGTTCGTGACAGAAACCTTTTCCTGGGAATTCATCATTTAGATAATTGAGAAAGGTCGATATGACGAATTTGGCCTTGGTAAAACAGCGGAAGAAGCTTACAACTTTGTGTAAGTTGTAAATTTTCTAATGTAGCTTTCTTTTAGCATTTCAGATGGTTTTTTAAATTACAGGCAGGTTGATTTCGACTTTTATTTGTAGGGAAACATTGACAGATGATATCTTGGAGTCAGAGCCCCTTGAAAGTACGAAAGGAAATACTGTTCGTCAGGAGAACTTCATTGGAAAGTTGAATTCACTGTGAGTTCTCTACATTGATTTATTTTATTAAAGAAAGATTTACTATTTGAGAAGGTTTTAAGAACAACTTTCGTGGATTATAAGGTTTTCTAAAATAATTTCCTTTTTCAGCCAGTGCTTCGTTTAGCGCAAATTTATTTTTTGAAAAATTATTTTTATCAGTGTTTAGCGATACATACTAATCGAATAAATTTATAGTATTTAGATGTCAGCAGAATGAGTGGCTTGCCGCACAGTTTACTCTCGAGTCGGAAGGCCCAACTAACAATTGTATATTTACCGCGGAATGTAAATTAGGAAATTTAACGGCTGAGGGGAAGGGGAAGAAGAAAAAAGTGAATGTTGATTTCGCTTTGTGTAAAATTCCCAGTTGATTTTAGCCCTCTTTTAGATGATTTTTATTCTTCTGTTTCTTTTCTATATTATTATTATTTTTTTTTTTTTTTTTT